AACAGACTGTAATACAATTTTGAATTAAGAAAACTAATTTAAGTTTGAAGAGTGGCCATTTGTGTACTATGACAAAATATTTTATACTTAAAACAATAATATATTCATGATTTCCAGTGATACAATTATTAAAGCGTCTTTAAAGTCAGCGTTGCAACATTTCATTTCTGTGTTTTCAATTAATTTTAAGTGTAATCCATATAATGGAGTTCCCTCGAGTTGGCTCACATATTTGTTTAAAAAATGAAGGATATCTAGGTAACTGGTCGCTAAACCAGACAGAATTAAGTAGTTCAGTCGTGTCAAGGTCCTTTTTTATCAGCTAGATAATTAGCCGAAATTGTTTATATTGTTGATTTGTCATCTGTCTTCAATAACACCGTCTAACAGGTGTACTTTATGTGGAATAACTATAGAAACATAGCTTAATGAAGTCATAAAGTAAAATTGCTGACTCTCAAAATTGTATTATTTTGTAAAAAAAAAAAAAAATGACATATTCTTTTGAGTTAATATCCTATTTTAATTGTACCACTATGGGAAGCTACTGAAATGATTAGACTATTAGTATCTGTAAAATATTTCTTGTGTATGTCCTCAACTCTGAACTTTTCACGCTTGCCTTTAGCTAATGTATAATTACTGTACAGAGGGTTTAAATTTTAACTGTGACAGATTTGCATAGAAAAAATAATGAACATTTAAATATTAACCGAGATAATATAAACGTAACATGTATACGTTTGGAAACAATTATTAAGGTATTGAAAAAACTTGTTTACTTGTTTTACTGTTTAGTTTTTAGGTTTATTTTACTAATAATAATTGAGTTAAAGTAAAGTACAATTAATATAACTATTTGTTTATGTCTATAGAGAAAATATGTAATAACTTGTGTATGCGCGTTTGTGTGTATGTGTAAGTATTGATACAAATGTTAAGGAGAAACTCCATTTTCTTAACTCATTTTTCTAACCTAACCTCACGAGAAAAGAGACAATGTAGACAATGTTCAACGATATAAGGATATGGTCGTACTTGTCATTGGGGAATGTATGAATTCGACTGATAAATTGCGCATTTCCGAGATAACCATAAAGTTGTAAAAATCAAAAGGGTTTTGATGCGTGTAAATATATTATTCCACGATTCATTGAAAATTACATTGATAATTTAAATAATATAAGCATTGCTTTGTGCTAGTTATTTAAATATTATTTTGTACGTTACAAACAATTTATTAAATGAAAAAATACAGTGTCTCTAGCTCAAAATATGACATACAGTAATTTGCCCATTTTATTATATTTTAACTTTCTAAAAAAATTAATTTTATTTTGTTCTGTACTTCGGTACAATATTCTATAGGCTAATGTTACATTACAAAAAAAAACCAAGCTAATAACCTCCACTTGTCTAGGTTTTTTTTTATAATTAGTTAAACGTTGTAGGACAAAATATTACACGAGAAATTGTTGTGGCCCGTCATCTTGTGAAGAACATCGACAAACCGAATAGTCTGCGTACATAGCCAGAGTGCAGTGGTGTTGTGTACTTAGATCAAATTAAGATGATAATATTGTGAATGCCTATACAAATTATAAGACACTTGCTATGTTTACAATATTAATCGATAATTCGAGTAACATGTAATTTTAACTGAACTAGGGTTTATTTATTTTAGTGTCCGTATACAGTTATTATCAGCTAAATCCTAAGCTATTTTTAATTAAACAATTTTAACTTAAATTGTTTTTAGTTTACTCGTAAGAAGTAATAGCGAATATACTTAGATTTTGATAAAAATGAACTAAGCTTGATATTAAGCACCTGGCTTTTAAAATGTATAACTGATATTATAACGGGAATATAACGAAAATTTAGTACTAAATATACTACCAAAAGAATAAAATTCAATTGATATTGCAGACGACTTAAGACTATTGTAAGAAAATCCAGAAAGATGGAGGAGAACATTTTGAAAGTCACAAAATGGACTCTTCATGATGAAAGACAGATAAAGGGGTATAATAATTTAAATAGAAATGGTATGAGTAATAAATAATTTAACAACGAAACACATAGTATTTTTATTTTGTGTGAAGAAGAAAAAATAAGGAATAGTCAAAAATAAGTAAAATAGAATAGATTTAGTTCAACCTGCATCTATAAATCTAATGAATAATGATACAATATCATTATTGTATTATACCAAAATCAGGACAATGTTTTTTATGTTTTAATTTTTCAATAGTAGGTAAGTGTTTTTGTTTCTGTACTCTAAATGTAATTTTATTTTGAAGAATAATGCGTAGAAAAAAGATAAATAGAGAAATCAAATATTGTGTGTAAAGACATTTGTTCTTATTTTTAAATGTATTTCTTTATTCATGAATATTTAATATCTAACAGCTAATAGTTTTGCTAAATATAATGTATTTATATTACATATAAAGAGCCGCTTACTTTAATAATCATTATAATAATAAGTATTGGGTATTTTGCGTATCATTTAACTTATTCATAGTTTCGATAAAAGATTGTCACAAATGGTTAAACTATACATAATATACCGTAAAACAACAACGATGGGTACATAAAAATGTAATATAATTTGAAACGACAAAGCTACGGTGAACAGCTTTGCAAAAGTTTTAACGTTTGTTTAATTACGTTGGCAAAACTGAAAAATGGTAACTTAAGAAACAAAATCGATTACACATGAAGACATTTTAAACACGGTCAACCAATCGTAATGTATAAACTTTTAAATTTGTTTACAACATATTATATATTTTTAACAGTAGTAAAATACGATCTACAAATAATAATATTAATACATTTAAAAATAAACAATAGAAGTCTCAGCTACATATATTCGACAAAATATAGTTGAAGTTCCCTAATCAGCCACTTCATCTACTTACATTAGTTATAAAATTGTCGTTGAAGTTATAAATAAGAATCCCTTGTCACATAAATTAATATATTATAATATATATTATGTATATATAGAACTATTATTATTATTATCGTTATTAATATTACTATTAATATTATTTTTATCCTAGTTACACTTAAGGTACGTCCGCTTACGAGCTAAAATCCTAATCTATAATATTTACTTAATTTAACATATTGGGATTAATATAACCCTTCTGATTTTTTTCATAAAATAGTTTAATTTTAGTATTTATGTTGTTAGTTGTTGTAATTAATACTTATTTTTGTTACGTACTCTTGAGATTGTCGTGTTAACATTACATTAAATTCAAACTAAAGTAAAAAAAAAAAAATTTATATATATATATATATTATTAAAACAACCATAACATAGATAATAGTTTTGATTAAAATTTATAAAAACGACAGATCTGTTTTGAAAAAAACGTAGAGTCAATAAACTAAAAGTAGACAGTCATAATAGTAACTATTTCAATTCTCCAATTACTATAATAGCTCCATTTTGTGTTCAAAATCAGTTGTGAATTTTGAAAAAGTAAAAAATGTACTTTAAATAATGTTGTTAGTTTTTTTTACCAAAAAGTACACAACAGTATTTTACATAGTTCAATAGTAATAAACAGTTCTAAAAAATAATAATATGTTGGAACATTGTTATAATTTACATAGTCTTTTTCGTGTCTAATTAATTTACCTTGTACAGAATGAGTAAAAATTGAAAGATGATCTTTTAAATTAGCCATTATTCTAAACATTAAAAGTATTATTATAATATATGTATACACAATGTTTGCAAACCTTTGTATATTAGTCCTTAACAATTAGAAGTGTTTTAGGTCTTATATATTTGTTTTATCTGTTTCATCTAACAATCAAATTGATGCGACTAAATATTATGTAGTCAATAAATACAAATTATATCAAAATGTAAAATAAAAAGTAATTCTTCTCATTTGATGTCATTGGCAATAAATACTATAATTGTCAGTTTTACAATTCAATGTAGGTATAAGTATATAAATGTATAAATAAATAAATATCGAAAAACACAAATTGGTGCAAACTACTAGTGCTATATTTTTCTACGGTTTATTACCCTTCAAGTTTAATTTAATGCAATAAAAACTCGAAATAGAGTAATTATTTAAAAAATAAAAATGTTTTTCTTGACACAGAAACGCAACATAAACGGAAATCAATAAAATACACAGTTTAAAAGTTTCGTACAAGTTAACCAAATGAGTGTTATAAATTATAATCAAATCAATTTTCTTAAATTGATCAAGAAATAACATTTTAAATATTGCTTGGACAAAATTAATAGGAGTTTTCAGTTTATTTTAGGTACCTAAGATGATATCGTGTTAAAACAACGGAATTATTATTATAATATAGTCATTTTTAACTAATAGCTAACTAGGACAAATAGTAGAACCGAACATTTTCATATAAGTAATATTAACAATGAAAGTGCCTACCTAAAGCATAAACATACTTTTATTAATGCCAGTTAAGGTACTGTAATCTATAACTTTTTTGACATCTTTTATAGTTAATTTTCTATCACAGATAAAAATTGTTTTAATAAAATGATAATTGTAAGTCGTTGATAATTTCTTAAAATTTTGTTGCAATATCGGATTACAACAAAAATTCAGTGAAATTAGTCTAGATGATAAATCATATAGATAGCGATTTAAAAATCTACCCTATTGTTGAAAATAAACCTAAAAATAAAAATTGTTTCCCTTAACAGCCTTTTTATAAGTACAACGAATTGAACAACATAATATTTATATTATTTTATCACATTACGAAATTTCATTTAATTTAATACTCGTTATTGAACAATCGACAAATGAACTGATCCTAGCTACTTTTTATATGAATATAGTAGATGAAGTCACGGACATGTGCTATTTTAAGGATATGATTAGACAGTTTTAATTAAAAACATTTTATTATGATATGTCTTATTGTCTATTTAAAATAGGTATTATATTTTTAAAAAAACGCTTAAGAATAGAAGAAATTTACATTACTTATTATGTAAATCGTCTAATTACTTTTTTTTTGTGGTTTAATAATATCTCTATAAATATTTTACTACTAAGTTATTTGGTTTCATGATATGGAATTATCATTTTTCAATACTTTTCATAAGCTATCTTAGGTGTATTTTCAATATATATCTTACATACGTCTAAATATATTATTTTGGCATAAATTTAATTTATATATTATATGAACTCCATTATTTACACAACTTGGCGCATTAACACCAATCAGATATTGTTTACCCGATCATTATTATGTTATTTGTTCAATTCAAATATTATAACTTTTACATATTTTTATTTTTAATGATATTAGTTTTTTATTTATAAGTTAAATTTAATCAATAATATTATATCGATTATTACCTATACTAATCTTAAAATATAATACAGTATAATAGATGACACGCAGTTTTTAATGAAATGTTTGGTTTTGCAACAACCCTAATTTACCGGAAATTGCAATAATAAATACAATTATTATTAAGAATTTTCTGGTGTCTTAGTATAGGCTACAGAATTCATTGAACGAGACGAACCCAACTAATGTTTCCTAAGACCGGTTCATACGAAATTAGTATTGATAGAATTACAATAATTTAATAGTACCTACGTATAGTAATTAAATCTTCAACGTCTAATACAAAATATAATATTACGGTTCACAGTAGATAATGCACGATTATATATTATTACTATACGGTAAGATAAAGATATAATAAAATACTAGTGGGCTGTTTCTTCTCGGCATGGCCGGCGTAGAGGAGTAAGTCTTATCGGTGTATTGTTGTAAGTTTAAAAATGGCATTTTATTGTACGTCGACGTCACGGTGAGTCGTTCGAGTCGGACCCCAAGCTCTGTATAGGAAACAGCGGGTACCATCCTTCTGTGACCTGTGTCAGCTTCAAGGAGTCCAGTGTCACCTCCGCTCCTCCCAGGCCTTGGTTGTGCTCGAACCCTTTCTGCCGTTCCCACAGCATTACCAGAAGAGATCTGCCCAATACATCACACGCCGAATACCTGAGTGTCTGATTGTACTCCGGGTTGCAATTGTGACGAACCACTCGGGTCTTGCGTTTTTGCAACCACCGGTCGTTTTCCCGTAGGTAAGTCTTCACGTAGGTATCTAAATGTACATGAAAAAAAAAATATGTCAATAAAACGGTTTAGCGCAAAAAAGATGAGCACTGGTATATGTACAATTTTTAGTCTTTTTTTTTTTATAACACAAAGAAAATTTCTCATTCAGCAATTAATTCACGTCATAGCCAAAAATTAAGATTCAACGAAAGAATCCTATAAAATGTTGCTAACATATTTGTAAATTACATACTATGGATATTATATAGTAGTCACATTGTACATCAGAATTGGTCGTTTTTGGAACAAACTGAAAATACATATATTTAGTCGAATTTTACTCGTTGAATCCGAATCATGATCAAGAAGTTAATATTGAAACCACTTTTAAAGTCGCAAGCGACTTACAAACAAAATAAAAAATTGTCTTAATTCTCTTTTGTGTTTTCCCCCACAAAAAATCGTGTTGTACAGTGTTATTGTATATTAAGCGTATACATCTCTGTTTGAAAACACAATACTAGTCTATGTATTATTTCGGAGTTCTTAATTAAATAGTATTTTAGACATTAATTCGGTCGACAAAATAATTAGTGCTTAATAGAGATTTTGCGAGTACATTACAAACTTGATACTAACACAACGACGTTATAAATAATTTTTTAACGTTGACGTTTGCTATCACGTAGAGGCGATATTATGATTTATGATCATTTTTTTAAAAAGATTTGAATCGTAACATATTCTATCTAAAGCCCCAGCTTAAGGTAAAAACGTACACAATACAATATTACTTTTAAAAATACAATTTAGAAAATGATGAGTCATAAGTGATGAGTGTAGGGGATAAGGGTGATTGACTGTATATTGTCAAATTAAATAGATACAGATAATAATTTAGAGAATCAAATGGATTTCAATAATATATATATTAACAGCATTTGGGACTATAATACTTGAACCCAACCTAACCGAAACTTGAGTTTTGCTTCCGTTTCCTTTACACGGTAATCGAGTGATATTATAATGTATATAAACAAACCTGGCGGCGAGTCTTCAGCGCGGATGCCTCGAGCGCACACGACATCCACTTCGAGTTGGCCCTTGGTCATTAGTAAACCTAATTTGAGTTCAATGTGATAACCTAATACAGACAGAAAACAATAAAATTATAATATAATGGATAAGAAGAAAATAACTGAACGAGACGCACTACCTGAACTCATGCCATAACTCCTCGGCATAATTTGGCCTGGTCCTAGAGGAATAGGTTCGCTGTGACAGGAAACATAAGTATTAAACTCAAACTATGGTTTTTACATGTTTTTATTGTAAATAAAAGATCAACAACTCACCCAGAAGATTCTTCTTCGTATTTATACATTTGTTCTGGTTTTTCCAAGACCGCATCTTTGCGCGATCGAAAAGACATACTTCCTCCTATTTTATAAAACAATGTGTTTAATCAAGTTTCTATCTACGCATGCGAATATTTCGCTTACTTCGCATTCCTCTTTTATCGTTAATGCTTATACTTCGACCGAGCAACTCTCCTTTTACGGCTTTTAAGTTCTTAAGGATCTCGTCTGGATCCTGTCGCGGCGTGCACGAACTCCTTCGTCGACTCTTATTGGCGTATACCGACGCTAGTTCAGGGTCAACTGAAAAATATAGTTGAACACATTTTGAAGTTTGACCGTTTATAAGCTCATTCGGTGTAGGTGTACAACACTTGCATACCTTTATCGGTGTTTTGAGTAGATGACTGAAACGAACTGCGCCGGGATCCCGGCAAGGATCTGGAAAAATCTTTGTTCAACTGATAAGGTTCTACTTCTAACTGTTCGGATTGACTTGATCCCCGTCTAGAGTTGGCCATGTAAGCGTGATCCGGGTGCAAAAATCCATCCAGTTCCCGTTCCTCTGAAATAATCCCACAAGAAATAACCACAATTAATATTATTTTCCATTAAAAGGGGTCTAAGTTGTGTGTGTGTTTATCGTTTACCCGACACTGAACGAATTTCTCTTCTTAAACCGCCCTTTCCCGAATCCGAAATCGAGCTTCTTGGAGACTTGGACGCTTTGCTATGGTTGGGCGATTCCAGTTCGTACCATATCATAGCGTTGTCCAGTAAAGCGCTTTGTAAGTTTACCACAAATTCACCTATGACCGGCAAGCCGCGTTTCAAATCAAATACTTGACGATTGTCGTTCAAGTTTAATACTAACCTAGGATAACGTCTTCTTTGTCGGGCCTATAATCGTACAGTATCACCTCCATTTGCTTTTCGATCAGCGTTTCTGAACGGACGTTGGGCATTTCCAGTGTTGTGTTCCACATGGGATTCAGTGACGGTTCCGCAATGTCAGTCTTCACAATATTAGTATCCACGCTAGAGTAAAACAAAAAAAAAAATTTTCCAACTCTTAATACTACTAATACCAACAGTGATGTATTAGTTTATATCACATATTGAATTTCCACGAAAAACTTATATTTTGTATTTTTCATTCCTCGTTAATCTTAATATTGGTTTCATTAAATTACATTTTTTTGACATTTTCATGTCTTAGCTCTGGCACATAACCGAAAAAAGCGTTCGTTACAAAAGCGTTACCAAAAATGCGTTCTTTACAAAAGCGTTACAAAACCGTTACCTGGGGGTAGAAGATAGGGGTTGGGAGATAGGGGTAGAAGATAGGGGTAAAAGATAGGGGTGGTAGATAAGAGATATGCTGTACGTTCAACGTTCAAATTAGAACTAAATGATAAATTCAAAATAAATTAAGGGCCCAAATTCTCTATGTTTAGTTACTTTTGGCCAGATAATAAACACTACAATTTTAGCCAGAAACTTGATTATACATAATTTTTTAATCTCCTTGGCCTTATGCTATAACTGGAAGTTCCATGTTTTTTTTTTTTTTTAATAAATCCACAACTAATCTAAGCGTATTCGGTAATTCAACGAGACATGAAAATGTTCTATCGTGGTTGCAGACTCGGCTGAAAAATGGCTGATTTTTTTATAAAAACTATTGAATATTTGTATTTTTTTGTCAATACAGTTTAATATTATTATGAACGCTTACTTAATACGTTAACAAGGATGCAACTTGAATTAATATACCGCAAAAATATTTATTAATGATCATATGAAAATAAAATAATGCAAAGTTTAAAAAAGATTATGCAATTTTTTTTTTTTTTTTTAATTCTTATAAGGTTATAGCATCAGTTGGTATGTACTGAATTTTGTGGTTATAAAATCGCTGAAAAAATAACTAGACTATATTACTACATTTTATACATGGGAAAAATGCTCATTGTTTTAGTTCAGTTTTGCAAAAATGTCCAGTTCCGCATATTAATCCATTGTTTTTAGTACCACTAAAATATATATTATGACAAATTTGAATTTCTCGACATTTTTACACTGGTTGATTTATATTAAAATGAAAAAAATACAAGAAACGATTTAAAAGTTAATTTCAAAGTTAATTTAAAACCCGAAACTGCAAAGTTTATTCGATTTTTAATGGTAATTGGAATAATAAATAAAATATTTACAAAAAAAAACGATTGTTTACAGTAAGTATTATGATGTGTATTCAATGTATTTCACAGGCATACACAATAATAAATAAACAAGTTGATATATATATATATGAATTTTGTAAAAACGCCAATAAATTATTATTATCACCAACAACATTTAAAATCCATTAAAAACAATATAAATTTCATCTATTTTAAACACACAAACCTTTCGTACATAAATCAAGACCAGTTACTGACTCGAATTATAGAAAATTGATTTTATATCTATTGCAATATCGAATATTATTTCGCGGTGGATATAAATGAACGCAAAATTTATATTATAAATTTCTAAATGTACATAAAACTATAGGGGTTTTCTTTAAAGGTAAGTTTTCTATCTCTTTTGTAACCACGCCTTTGTTGAACAAAATTGTTAACACAAAAAAAAAACTAAATAATTACAAGAGAAGAGCTTACTTAGTGTGCCAGAATTTATAACTAAAAATGAATTGTACAGCTTTAATTGTATGGTAGGATTATTGACGGTTAATCAATATTTTCAGAGGGGAAAAATATTAGCCGTAAATGTTTATTTCAAAGAATTTTTGTTTTCTTTACAAAGCAACATTACAGGATGCTTGACACGTTTTTTTTGGATTTGTGTACTTACGTGAATGGCAAAAGTTTGATTTGGACGTATGCTTCTGGCAGGGATCCATAATCGGCATCGTTTCTCATTTGTAATCCGTTGGCCGCCAACACAGATATGGATAACTCGTTTTTACCGTCCCGGTACCAGACTTGCATTTGAATTCCGCCAATGATATTTCTCTCCCGGATAGGTTCCTCTTGTATGGACTGAGTCACACCAGATGTCTATAAAATTTTACATTTTAAAACTCGCAAAGTACAAAATACGAAAACGCGTGCAAAGAATTAAACGGTATGACCATTGAAAAAAAAAATGATACAAGAAGAAAAATATGTAATTTAATTATAAAAAAATGTGAAGGATAGTTAGAATAGGTAAATAAAAAATATTTAATAGAATATTTTCAAAATAGCCAAAATAGTAATTAGGAGGCATATGAGCATTATGGACATATAGCTATAATATGAAAGTTTATATTATGAATAATAACCGATATTCAATATACTCATAATAACAATTAAATAGGCGTTTAGGTACGTCATACCTATAGTTGTAAAAATCATAATAAACAATGTTAGCGTTTTTGTACAATGAATCTACAAAAAGAGTATAATATTAATACATACTATAATATTCATGCACTCAGCTAATTATCTGTGAAAAAAACAATTACACTCATTCTACTGATGGCAAAACAAATAAAATTAAATCAAAAGCATGAAATAAAATTATCAAATTCATGAATTAAAGCGTTCCGTATTAAAGCTTAAAATATATTTTTAAGTCGTTATAAGTAGGTAAGTAATAAAGTACACAGTTTGTATTAAGTTTGTACGACGTGTGCCATTGACAAAACAGCGCACGTCGTTTAACATAAATAATATGTTATCGTTGATAATATTCAAAGGCTGTCGAGGGACTAATGCGGACTTGATGAGTGTTACACATGATTTTGCACTGTCTAATGTCTTGAATGGTAAAAACAACAACAACAATTCAATGAATAAATGATAAAAATCTTTCGAAAGCATCGAAAGATGTTTGAGCTTAGCGTACACTAAACAATACAAAATATAACGTTCGTGGTCCTTAAAACATAATGTTTGGCCTAATATAATTATTAGGTGATTATAAAGTTAAATTACCTACGGGTAAAGGTTTAAATGTAATAATAATAATAATAATATGAAACAATCACAGAGGAAGTGTAAACGGTGTCTATGTAGTAATGAGAGTTGTATAACAAGCTGCAAGATGATAAAAATAAAATATGTAACATATATAATGTAATATATGTATAAAAAAGATACATTACATGTCAAGCACACGATTTAAAGCCGTAAATAGTAAAAAAAGAATGGTCGCAAACGGAGTTTAGCAAACCATGACTATATGGTCAGTTGTTTAAAAGGCGGATTGCCACATATATGTAGTACTGTCAGGCCAGGCAACAGGATTGTATAATTTATGCGAGCTATGGGTCAAACGCATGTGTACACCCAACCGATTGGCTGTATGGAAGATATGGGTACTACTTATATACTCAGAAAATTTGTTCATATAACTTGCCCAATCAATATCTGTCTTAAAAACCTTTTTTTTTTGGAATTAATATAAAAAAAATAATAGTAACGTAACTTTGAGGTATAGCGTCACTGTAAAATTTGTTGTCAGAGATGTAAGCACATAATATGATATGACATAGTATTTGAAATATATTCAAAATTGGTATTTTTGAGAATTATGTTATTTATATAACTTACATAAAAATACACAGGCGCGTATAATCATTTTTTTTTTAAACAAAAATATTTATCTGAAACTTTAAGTTTTACACTTTGTAGAAAATAACAGACAGTTTTGTATAGCATTTATAAAAAGACAACACATTTTACTCTGACGCACTTATATTTAATTGAAGAATTAAAAGCCATATTACTAGATAACTTGTCCTAAAAAAAATATTTATACCAAACATTAATTTTCAATATTTCCTACTACTAAAATTCCAACTTCAAAGTTACATACAAGTAAACGGTGTGGATTCGATTGAGTATTTTATTTCTAAATCAATGTAACCCATACTATTACTATACATAAGTAAATAAGGCCGGTTAATAAAATCCTCGTCCTTCCTACTACACTAATCTCTCTTACACGTTTTACTGTTTTATTTTTCATGTGGTTCCTGCTATGGGCGATATATTTTTGTAGTTTTGTAATAATATCTAATAAGTTATCGATTTATAGATAAATTATTACTTTTAAGACAAAAAAAACAATACGCCTTTTAATATTTTGTGAAATAATTAAATATTATCGATTTTAGTCATAATTTGCTTCGATGCGTGACAAGCAAGGTGTGAGTATAATCGGTATCGAGTGAATAAAAATATTATATAAATATATATAAATGAAAACAATTATTTTAAAAAACTTACATGTCAAATGGTGTGTCCAATAATCGTGTTATTCGTAGAAGTGTATAGAAATATATGAAGTTATGACATCAATAACAATTAAACCTCATGTGATCTTTTAACATCAGAATGTTTTAATACCTAACTTTTTGTTTTTATAATTAATATAGATAAATTTGTTGAGTGTTAACTATTAGTTATAGTACATTATTCGATGTGGATTTGCTTCTCAGTTAGAAAAAAAACATTTACAGCGTATAATAATTGTTATTTCAATCTCTTTCAAGTGCCAAGAAAATAGCGAAACTATAATATAAATAATTAAGAAATATAACATGTAACATGGTGTTGTAATAATAAAAATACCAGCATTTTAAGTAATATTCTTGTGTATTTATTATGCACCTATTTCTATGCTTATATATTATAAAATATTTATAATAACAAGATGATTAATAATTTTCGATCATATTTTTGGTTATTGGGTAGTTCACATTAATAAATAACAAGGTCATATTTTCGATATTGATTATTGTATACATTCTAAACATAAGAATACGTATAAATATATAATTATATATTAATATAATTGTTGTAAAGTAAAAGAAGCGATAAATAGTATATTAAATTATAATATCAAACTTTTTTACAAACTAAATGAGATCCGTCCAGCGTCAACTGTATATTTTGATAACAAAGCGATAAACTTTTTTTTACACGTACCCAACTAACTAAATTATTAAAATATCTTTTACATTAAATTGTCATTTTATAGAGAACACTCGGTCCAAGTCGAATCCGATTAAAAAACGCCAATAAAATAGCCGATGTACGCTAATCCATAGTATACAATTTACTATTTGAACTGAAAATAAGAATATAAAACTAGAAAATAAGTAAATTACGCTTTAGGTATACCATAAACAGGGTTTTATGCTTTGCAACCCCACGAAATCGCTTAAGAATGCCTACATTTCGGATCATTGTCATCGAAACAAATGCATTAAAACTAACGTTGACTATATTGTTAAAATTGTCTATTGAATATTTATTGTAAGTTACATTTTAGCAATAGTCGGTAAAATGATATTCACGTTTGAAATCGACCAGAAACGAATATTCTGACGGATAGCATATATTTTCTGACCGCTGACGGATCCGTAACAACCTTACACAACTACTGGACTAATTATTTACAATATCAATAATTACATTTATATAACTATATATATATATATATATAGTTGGTTGTATTGATATATCCAATAGTATTAAATATAGAATAGTGGGTACACAATGGAACATGTAACTAATATCATTGAGTATAATATATTGTATACTCAATGTTAATACCCTTTGTTCATAAAACATATATTAATACATTCGATTGAAAAAGGCGTTCGACCCTCTTTAACCTTTCCGTATTTTTTTCTTTATTTTCAAACGAAGTTAGACACAGTGCGCTAGCTGGTCGGGCGAATTACTCAATTCACGGTGACAATATATAATATTATATTATTGCTAGTATCAAATTAGCATAATGCGTTCATCGTAGCCTTTAATTACACAAGTTACTTAAAATAGTTATCGTCCGAGTACGACTAATAATTATAACCCGAAAAATCAGTCTTACGTAGAAATGAAAGATTACATATAATCATTATCTTATAAACGTGTTTAAATTGAAAGTCTGAGGGGGATTTGTACAATACATTATATATAATTAAATATATTGTTCCAACGCAGCACAGCCTTTGAGAGATAGCCATAGATATATTATTATAAATATAATGATCGTCGTTAACCGTTATAGTGATTGGTAGTATTTTCCGACATTTGTTTTGAATGTATAAAGACTTATATGAGGCGTCTAGTTACAAAAGCGGCTAAAAGAAATCGTTGAAAATGTTCACAAACAACAAATAATTTCTTGAGATGGGCGGTTTTTGAAACCAACCGAGATTTTCCTAACACAGTTTGAGATAGTTATTATGTTTATTTGGTATTCAATAATAGTTTTACATACCACGTACCTAATACAGTGTGACCACTTCTAGCTGGTTTTGAAACTGGACACCTCGTATTATAGTTTTTTTAACGGACAAATGCTAGTAATAAAAACTATGCTTACATTTAAAATATAGATAATAATAATATATAATTACTGGCCTATGTACATAAATTATAATACCGGCAAAAAAAAAAAAATTAAAAAAATCATAAAAATTCAAAACGCACGCACTATCTACTTAAATCAACATACAGGTAAAACATTATCCTTCAGAAATATGTAAATATGTATATATTGTGTATACACATATTGCAATGGATATATATTATATTATAATAGTATTTTTTTTTTAAATTATACCAAGAATTTTTATGATATTTATGAGAGGTGTTGGCCAGACTGCAAAAAACAAAACTAATTATTGTCAGCCGGAAACACGGTGTTCAGTCGAAAATATTATCCGCGGTTTATAAAGTAAAATACTAATTATAGAGATATGTCACGGGTATTGTAATGAAGATGTGTTGATATATTTGTATGCTGGTAAGAGTGTGTTATTTTAACACACATTTAATATCGTCTACTTGAATACGCATGGAGCAAATATTATTATGTATAATATATAATATAGATATACGGATGTATATGTTTTTGAAGCTAGAAAATTAACGAGTCGGTCACAGAATATTATTTCTGAAGGATCGAAACTACTATATTACTGTACATACACCGTTAACGTATAAATTCTATACCGGAGTCTTGGGCAGTTTTCTTCTGGTCGGAGACGCCGGGGAATCTGATCCGTCTGAAACCGCCCAAACACAATACAAAGTATAGTACACACTTCATCATTGCATCGCTATTCATTTGCAAGATTATATGGTTATTATCTACTTGGGACGCGCTATGTAAAAATATATTTATTAGTGGACAGTTAGAACATACGGTACGGTGCTATTAAAATATCTGCCATGATATGCAAAATTATGGCATTCTGCTAATAACAGCTATCATTTTCAATCCAATTCCTATAGTTTGTATTTTTTTTTTTTGCATATAGCAATAATGTCTGGGAGTAGTCCCGAAGGCTAGTTCGGATGCCTGCTTGGCAGAATGGGCTGTGTTCACCCGTTGTTTTCTGCCAAGTTTTTCATAGGAAGATGGCCGGGTCCGAACTGGCGACGGTGCAATCATTGGAACCGCTGCCTTAGTCCACTCCGTCCCCAATAGTTTGTATTAATATTCTGGGTCTAGGGCTTTCTTTAAGGATGTTTCCAAACAATTACTCTTCGGATGAGTTTGAGTCACTCGAACGTTTAGTGCTCCGAAGAGGTAAGACGCACGCATGTGTTTGCTTGTGTTACGGTGTCAGCTTTATGAGGTCAACTACAGCTTTTCCGCCTCGCTTAAGGCGCGTCAATTATATTATTTAAAAGGATCAACGTCGTACGAATACGGTCTGCGGAATTGAAAAACGGAAAATTTTAATATTTGAGTATTAGGCCGTATTAAGTGTACACAATGTGATTGCATACAGCGTGTAACGAATTATGTCAAGTTTTATATAGTCAAATATTTTATTTTATGTGTGTACTTTCTTATTACTTTTATACTCTTTTTAATATAAAATTAAAGGAAAATAAATTATTTTGGTAGTTGGCGTTTCATTGTCGAGTCTTGTCTATTAAATTTTAATGTAACTGTCAAACTAAAACACACATTGAAAGACGTCAAAGCAACTGCTTTGACCTTTGGTTAAACTTGGTTTAAAAAAAAAACAATACTGTATTAACCATAAAAGGTTGAAACAGTGTGACGAAAATTGCAGTATTTATAATAATTAGAATGGTGATCGTTTACCGTTCTTAATATAGTACAAGTTTTAATTTGTGGGCTAAACGTATGACAATATGTAGTGTCACAAGACAAAGGACCAACTCACTGTCTGGAGGAGATTAATTTTCCGTAAGCTGTTTACACCGAGACGGATGTGTGCCCCCGATAAAATCTTAAACGTACAACGGTTCAAATTAAAAAAAAAAATGTTTTGCGCAATTAAGAAGAGATAAAAATAATTGAATAATAATCGACAAAGGTGAAGGAACTTTCAACGTTCCTACATTGCGGCGATATTGATGTAACACAGTTTAGTTGCGAGTTTATAGGTGTTGTATGAATACAAATAATAACAAACGCGTTTCAGACGGATTTTTCTCGAGGGGGGAGCGGGAAAGAGAGAACCCGACGATGATGATAATAATAATAATAAATCTTTGTACAAGAATAAAGAAGCTGCGAAAATCGGTACCGCGGGGGCTTGTGTATCTGTTAGAGCGTGGGTGTAACGTTTTTGGCATTTTTGTGAATTCCCCAATCGAAAGCGTTCCGGTCGGTTGGCCCCGCAAGCAATAATAATAATATCAAGACGATATCATTAAGACGCCCGACTTGTCTCGACGTTTTCATTATCGTCGTTGTACGTTCGGTATCGCTACAAACACGAGCAAAGAAAAATAAAATATGATCGGTTACCGATGTGCGTTGGCGTACCATTTTGCACCGTTTATATAATATTGTTATTACATTATTATTGTTATCGTCACAATAATAATAATATATAATAGCGACTTGGCGATAAATCGCAGGTCAAGAGATAATGACAGTTTTTTTTTTTTTTTTACGCGAAGGGTACACAAGGGCGAAAAAAAAAATAAGTTTCGTTTTTCAATTTACTATTGTTCGATTTTTTTTATACGCATAAAAAAAACCACCGAGTATTATTATAAAAAGACCCGCGACAATTTTTTTTATTTCTTTCAAATATTCAAAATGTACAACAATCCGTAGGAATGCTGCTGCCGTACACCATTATAATGTTATCCTGTACGATTTTCAGTCCTTAAACGTTTCTTCTGTGGGGAAATTAAATGGGGAAAAAGTGATTTATTATTATAATATATTATAATAGGTACCTTTTATCCCCGGCACTCTTCATGGATAATATTTTATAAGGCAGCACAAGGGCAATGCCCCCTACTAAAAGGGGACTTGGTGGACTAGCGCCGTACCTATTTTGTTTGACTATTGTTCATCGCAAACGTGTCGGGTCGGGCGTGTGAACGAAAACAATTAAGCGCATATAATATTTGATAATACGATAATAGCTAACCTAGTTGTAAGCCCATAGCTTCACCGGAATTTTTTCTCGACGTCATTGGCCCGGGCTCGTCCAAAAGGTCGCATATCCTCCTGGAAACAAGAGCACAAAGCTCAGCGCACAGTAAAAAAAACACATAATTTTGCAAAATATACAAATTAACGCATCGATCGCCATTTTTATGTCCAAGTTATATTGATATTTTAATTGAACTCGTAATTTGAATCTATACATTAACAGTCTAGTAGTCGTATAGGAAATGTTCAATAAGTTTTATGATTGTTGCGATTATTAAAGAATGTCTAGCTTACGGCCAGTCGACTTGTACAATATTATAATACTGTAAACGTACATTACCGTACTTGTTATTATGGACAAAACCGTTTATATGTATCATAATATAAAACAAATTGTTCAGATATGTCTGAGGAGGGGCTCTTTAGAATGTTTTTCAAATAAACATTTTAAGAACTTTAATGTTCTATCTATTAAATTACTATTTAAAAAAATAACTATAGTGTAGTTAGTACAAAATTTTAGTCTTTGGGTCAATGTTAATATGAGAACAAGAGAAAACATTATATAGCTTATAGTGCTAAAGTTATTTATTTTAGAAAATCTATCGTAAAAAATGTGTGGACTATCTTGTACCTAATTACTATAACTCCATGCCTTTGTACTTAAACACAAATATACATATCTTTTTTCTTCTTCTCTATTTTTATCTGTATATGTTAGTTTGTAATTAATAATATATTCATAATATATTTCGTAACATTGTTTTACTCTCTGCCTTCACCACAAGCTCAGCTTATAAAAGGTAGATAATATTATGAATGTGTTAAAGCTTTCGTGGATTGATATATCATTTGGATTAGTTTCGGATGTATCCACGTCAATAGTTATAGGCCGACGTTTCAGACTCTTTGCAGAGTCCATCTTCAAGGGTAATAATGGTCTCGACTGTTCAGCTGCCGTGACCATACGAAACGTCGGCCTTATACTATTGACGTGTATATATCCGAAATTAATCCAAATGAGGTAGATAACTTACGTGAAAAATATTTTATTGTTTCTATTATATTAAAAAATTAAAAAATATGACTGTATCCACTCACAGTTCGTATCCTTGTTCGACTAGTAGCTCTACCACGTCGCCAGAACGGTCTATGATGGCACACACTTCCTCGAAGCTCCGGTTCGCCAAAGGTATGCCTGCCCATTCCAGAACCTGTAAAATAATAAAAGGGGCGACACAAAGGTAATGAGCGTATAGTGTTTGGTTTTTTACCTGTAAACAGTTAAAAAAGTGCTATTTTTTATATTTTTTTACCTTATCTCCTTGTTGCAGACCGGATTTTTCGGCAGGACCTCCGGGAACGGTCCACACAATCGATGCGAACATTTGTCCGTCTGGCCCGATTTTGCCGCCCACTACTCTCATGCCGAATCCCCTGGCTAAAAACAAAAATGATAATAATGATAAAAATAACACGAAAACAACACAAAAAGCGTTTCGATAAAATCTAAATGTGGTAATGATTTGTTACCTAAAAATATGAGTGAAAAAAAAACTATTTTAACTTAAAAAAACAACGGAAAGATGTTAACGGTTACATTTACGATTATTTTTTTTTATAAGTCGTGGCACCTTAGTAAATATCCAAATTACAGCTATTGTTTTTCTTAATTATTTAATATTTTTATAATGAGGATTCGTTTTTTTTAAATCATAGATGTATCTTTATTTATTCATTTATGTATAACAATAATAAATACACACTATATTAATGTATGTTGTTTTTCTAAAAGTATTTATATAATTCAATTACTCTACGTTACACCCAGTGACGCATTCAATTTGTATGATGGATGGTACACCCACCCAATGCATGTTTACATTTTGACACCTATCTGTAATGTTGTACTGCATTAAGTTAATATACAGCTGTATATTTTTTTCAATGTTTTAACGTTTTTCATTATTGTATCCATGATACTTTTTAAGGAGAAAATGGTACTTATAAGTTCATCCGGATAAATGCTGATAAATAATAGAAGGAAAGGATGAGAACCAAAAGAGTACTAGCACATTTTTTTCAATAAAAGTTTTTGACATTATTCGCAAATGGAATCTATTTCTATCTGTAATTGTACAAACTACAGCTACTAATATAGCTATACCTATATGTGCTAAACTAAATTATATTAATTTCCAATATTTCGATTATAGTTGTAGGAAATGTTAACATTTACAATTCTAATTACTTTAAATATATTTTGTTTAAAATATATATTTAAACATCGACGTTTATAAAGAACCATCGACCGAACTCTCCTGGTTTTTTATTTTACTTAATTAAAGAAAAAATACTTTAGTCCTCTACTAGCAAAAATGGCAAATAATATAATTTACGCTAATCATTTTTTTTTTTTAAAGAGAGTTTTCCAAAACTCCCAACAGCATTCTTAAACAAGTGGTTAGGAATAATTGTCGTATTCATCGAGTTCGTTGGCCGGAGAACGTCTTTGGTCGTCTAAAGAGAGAGCCGTCATTTAAATAACTGAATACGTCTCATGTAATTGAACTGTTAATTTCAGACTTTTTACTATGTCATTGTTATTTATATTTATTCCAACAATAAACGTATAAAATTATTAAATATTAAAAAAATATTTAAACATATATCAAAATTAAGATTTTAAAAATGTTTATAAAACCAAAAAAAAAAATTAAATATTAATAACGGACGTACGTGAGACTTGACACTGAATAAAATATAATAGGCTGTCTAGAGCAAGAACGAACTTGTACGCACGCTCAAGCCAACCTAATACATAAGAACACATATTCGACCGGAGACTGTGAAAGAGTGCATTTTATAAAAGCTTTTGGTGTATTGAAAAAATGTCAACGATATCTTAGTGAATGGAATGTTTACCATATTGTTTTATTGCGCGAAAAACGTTCATATTGAGAACGCCAACTCAAATAGGTAGTAAATGCACTTAAACGGAGTCATATGCCAATGCGTATTGCTATTTTAATAATAAGAATGTAGGTCAAAGTGTCAGCAATGTGTTATATGCATGGGAAATAGCGAGACATTACTATACCATATAATAATATAGTACAACAATAGTATACATTCCTGTGTGAAAATATGTATATTGTTTTGTAAAATCATAAAAAACGCATTCACATATTATTCGCGTGTATTAAATATAATTATTTTAGTTAAAATTAAAATTAATTTAAAAGGACACGACTATCAAGAAACGACTAATTAACTAATTTTGTTTTAATCCGTCCGGTCGTTAATTTTTTTTACATTTTGAAGACATTGGTAGCTTATGTTATTTGTTAGGTTAGTTTTGTATAGTAGATTTATTTTAAATTATACAATAAACATTTTATTTGATAAATTTATATTTTTGTAAAATAGAGCATTATTGGGTTTCCTTAGTGCTTTTTCAATGTTTCTAGGTTTATCTATTTTTGCATTGTACCTCCGTTGTTATTTATTTTATGTATAAATTATAGTGACTAAAATGCGTATTTACAGACTTGATACATTGTGGGTTTACGGTTAAAAAGAGATGGGAGTGACTAAAACGACATTAAGGTTCGTTTCGAACATAAGTTAGGGTAAAACAATATTATCTTCTCCACTAGATACTATGATACGAATTTTCAACTTAGCAAGTGCGCATTTACACTTTTTAGTTTATCGAGAAATCTAGAAATTGTCCGTTGTTTTTGGGTGTATTTCATGAATGACGCAATATTAAATTAATTGCTATGGTTTTTTGTGTGATTAGTTATGTGTGTATATTTACTTAAACAATACACATATGACTGCATAATTAGTGTCGGTATCAGGTATGTGCAAATATTTGATGGGGGGAAAAAAAGTAGTTCCGGCATGGCTTGTAAAATAACATTTTAAACATAAAACGGCATGCTGAGTAAGTCATTTAACGTAGATTAGCGTTTTCCGACCGGTCTTTGTGGGTAGTCAGCTTAAGTAGTTCTATACTATTATACTATAATATTATACGCGCCCAGGAACTGCAAGTTAATCCGGATTTTTTCGGGTGGAAGACATTTTAAAAGTAGTATCTAATTCTGGGATTATGAAAAAAAAAAGTCATAAGCGATTCATCAAAGTAGCGTTTTATATGAAATTGAACTTAATGATATTATTCATTTTAAATACCTGCTACGATAAATTAGAAATTATTTGTTTTTTACAAGCCTCGTAGGCACAGAGAGAATCATAAAATACTGCTGTTGATGTGTTTTACCACTTTCTGCCGGCATTTGTGCGATTTTTAGCTTAAAAATAATACCCACCCCATTGTTTTATTCAGCTGACTATAACAATACCATAAATTCAATTGTAGGGCGAAACTGAAAACGAGATTGCGTGAGAAGACCCGATCTCCGACCACCGAGGGTATGTGATATATAATATAAAAATACATTTTTTTTTATTTTCAACCTTATTCTGACAGAATAGTCGGCGCTGGATTGTTTTTTTTTTCCTAATGACCTACAGTTTTATCATAATAATATTACATTACCCGTACACTATGTCACAGTTAACATTAATAATTTAACCGTGCTACACGCCAAAGTTTACCGCAGTCTGATCTTGAGAGTATTTTCACCAGAAGTGTATCGATTTCACGCCAATTAACGTATAATTTCATTTATAATGACCTGGATTTTATATAATCGAAATTGCCATCGATGCACCGCTTCGTCTACCGTAAAAATCTTAGCCTTGTTATGTAAGGCTATAAAGTTTGAAACAGCCCAGCAAAGGACCAAAATAATGTCAACAACGTAAAACAACACTCGATCAAGGAGTCTGTACAGTGAAAAAGTGTTGTCTCACAGCGCCAAAACCGTAAATAGCAGCCAACCAAATACCCGGGTCGTTCTTGAAACCGCATTAACATGGTTGGAGACTTTTTTGGGCGGGGTGCTTGTTGTTCTAAAAACCTTAAAACTTAAAATTAGTGTTATATTTAATTTTACTTCTACAAATCTCTCATTAAAAAATAAATGTATGTGTTTTTAAAAGCAACCGATTTTAAGTTTTAAAGTGTTTTAGTATCCTAAACTCTACCCTTGTGGGGCCAAGTGTTGTAATAACAATGGCGTCCACGTGTCCTGTTGGAAAGGATGACTCAGACTACACTGAACTGGTAAACATAAAAACTTGCCAAGATCAGTGGTTCTCCTCCAAATACTTTTTTGACTAATTCGAGTTGATAAAACACTTTTTACGCAATGACAAAATAACTTCAATCAAAAAGTTGAAGTAAAATCAATAACATTATAATGTATTCAGAGAATTATTTAAAATGTGTATTAACGATAATTTTATAAAGGCGTAAATGAAGGACCTTAGGTACCCGAGCCTTGCATAGTGTCAGCTGCAGTATAAATAATTTAGTTATTATAAATAATAAATAAAGAACACAACCGTGGGTCGCTAGCATTACTATGATTACTTAAGTGTCATCGAGTCGATTCTGTTTTAATTTTATTATTATTTTTATATCTATATTTTGACTTTTGTCAAAAACAAAAAAGAAATTAATAATATATTAAACATTTTATGATTGAAAATAATAAATAATACATTTTAAATAACACCAATTCTTTTATGATAACAGGTATATTATAATATAGTTTTCATTCAAAATAATAGGAAATAAAATAAAATATTAAGAGTACTTGAACTTATTATAACTCATTATTATATTAAATATCCATAAAAATAGCTACGCCTATTAAAAAATTGCCACCTATTGAATTTGTATAATAGCCCATTTTACTCCAAGAGAAAACTTTTTTGTAATAACATTAGTTAAGTGTTTATTTGTAACTATCATTAAACAACACCGCCTCAGCCTCATATACATATCACAAACACACAAATAAAGTAGGTACGTCTAAATATCTATCAATAAAAATATATTAAAATATTTTAATAAAAGTGTAATAGTTGACGAATTTTGTGCCATACTAAGACTAACTGAGCGAATACAACCAGTTAAAAATAATTAACTTTTTTCATCACAGAAGAAAGTATTCTCTAGTAATATAATTTTATTTAAATGCACTTTTTATTTAGCACTCAATTATTTATTTTTCAATATATTTATTGCATACTGAAGTATAGATCAAACATAAACTGTGTACCCGTGTGTCAATGTTATGGCAAAAAATCAATTTCATATTTATATAGAATTATTATATAAATTTAGTTTGCAATATTACTAAAAAAATATATTTCTTTAACTGATTTTTCCTTTTGCCGCCAAATACAATTTCTATAAATAAGTATTATTCATTTGTTATTCAATTTTAAATTCTAACCGTGAACTCAGTTTATTAATAAATTCGAAGTGAAATGACATAAGTATTTATACTTTGTACATTAAAAAACTTTAAGAAACAGTAAACTATATATTCGTTTGATATTATGCTGTATATTAATTATCCTGTTGTGAGTCTATTTATGTCAATTGACAAACCTTTAAATGCACATTTCTATTTTCAATAAACTTGCGTTTTAGGTACATTATGGTTACATTTATTAAAAAAATTACTGTCGACATTTTTAAGTTACGTAGAACATCAGTTGTTCATTAAGTACTGTAAAGTGTAAACGAAAAAATGTCCATTTTCGTGTCAATGACTCACAAGCGAAAAGGTAGATAAGTCACGATGTTATAGTAAGAATGCAAGACTTGACCTCAAAAATATCAAGTCGGTAAGATTTTTACTTAGAAGATTATTTGAATAATTAACAGTGTCGACGATAAACCAATACTACAATATTATCATACTGGAAAATCCAGTAAAGCCTAATTGTCATTTTGGTAGTTAAAAATATCGACTGGTTAATTAATTATGATTTTAATTTTTAATCGTTACACTGACTGTAAGTTACACATTCATACTGCAAAGTACACTACAAAAATAAAAATTAACAACCATTAATAATGTGCATAATAAGTATGCAAAAAATAAGGGTAATTTCTTTCATTTTGGTACTTGATTTAATTGGACACTCAATTAAGCCGAAAGCAAGTACATTGTTGTTCAAGTTCATAGAGTGTAAAGAGTTTCCCTTACAAGTTTTTTTTCACAAACAATTATTTTAACACATTTTAATATTGTTGTCTCTTAGTAAACGTTAAATTAAGTGTTTCTACCGGTTCAAAATTAATTTAAAGTTAAAATTAGATGGTTAGAAAATTGTTTAAAGAAAACAAATTAAGTAGTTAATTTTGATCCATGCAATAATGATGAATACAATTGCCTTTCAATTCTTTATTTTTTTTTAGCTTCGATGCGTAACATTGATGTGTGTTTATGTACTTTTTTAGTGAACTAACGATATTTTCTGGGACACTGCATAGATTTTTTCATAGAGTAACTCTATAGATCAGAAATCGTACTTGAAAGGTACTTTATTGGGTTAAAAATGTAAAAAGGTCACGGAAAAGGCCCTTTCAAAATCGATCACAAGAGCACCCACTAAATTTATATATTCATCAATTGAAATATTATACGACTTGCTATTCATTTTATTAGTACTAAATGTGAATGGAATATTCGTTAGATAATGTACCATTGATAAAAGAAGAAGAACAAAAAAAAAATGTGTCATAAACCCTTTCCTTTAGAAGGGGTGGACATTTTTTCTTTATTGTTTTTTTTTCGAGCTCAGTTTTAGAATTTAAATACCATAAACTTGGAATCAAGTATACACAATTTATTTAATTATTTGCCAATTTTGTAAGGTCCATGTTTCGTTACTAAAGCTCGTCTACATTAAATTACATATTTTATTAGGTAAATAGCAAATATTTATATCTTACTTCGGTGGGCTTTGTCCGTCAAATCTCGTTTCAATATCACTTTACGCTTGGAACCAGAACGAGCACCTATTAACAAAACCGTATAGATACATGTATTCATTGGATATAACATATAATATTGTTGTTTATGCAATATCAAGACCCCAATTTAATACAACAGTTGCTTTTCGAGGAATAGATGTATAGCATATTTTACTGGTTTCTACACTAGAGTCCAAAAAAGTAGTTTCCCATACTTACCCATCATGTTTGGATCGAAGTCGACGTCGTGTATGACTATCTTTATGTCTTCGCCTGCCACAGATGTTTGTCTGCGCATTGTGTCGTTCTGATCTTGTTCTTGGCTAACTGTTACCGGCTGTTGGACTTGCTGGGACTGCTGTTGTGTCTGTTGACCGTCGGCGACACTTCGACCGGAAAAAGAATTGCGGCCTCCACTCCTAGATTCAACGGCCGACCTCAAACCACTGATGTCCGGTCTGTGGAACAACACGTTGGTTTATCATATAGTTGAGTTTAATAATAATATTAATTAGTGATTATCGTTGCGCATAAACTCAGAACAGAGCAGTTACTTACAACTGCGAACCACGTCTTCGAGGTCTCCAATCTTCGTCGCAAAGGGTTTGAGGCAGTTCTGTAATAAATGAAAACACAACGTATTTCAAGCAAAACGTTTGTCGGGTTCGCTAAATATTTTTGATACAATATTTTTTCATGAGTGTTACATTACATTTCCTTTTATTACTAACTGTACAATATTAATTCAACGTCCGAATAAACGCATGTAACTTTGTATACAACGTTTAAATAAAAAGATATTTAACTTTCAACAACAATATGATACTTTATCCAAAGAATTACTTGCTCGAGTACCTCATATTGTATTTTGCATATTATAATTATGTACAATATATACAACCAGAACCAGACGTTAAAATAAAAAAAAAACCACTCAATTTTCATAATAAAATATATCGGATCAATACGCTTACGAAACCAATACGACTTGATGTGCGATGAAGCGTGAGAAGTCTAGTGAAGCCTAAAATTAAACGGCCTTCCTATATTTTTTTTCTAAAAAGCAAGCGTAACAACAAAATGTGAATGTAAAAAAAATATTATGTACACAAGTTTTTTTCATTTTCGACCCACAAAAGAAAAGCATTATATTTTACTCAAGTACAAACAGTTGATTAGTCATTTCAAAACTTATTCTTTAGGAAAACGATTAAAATATTATTATCTCCAAATACCCACCATTATTACTAGTTAATTTTATTTTTATAAAAACAAATACACCTATTTATAAATATTTGTCTAAATTTCATTCTTGTAGTATTTTTACTAAAATACAAACGAAGGGAGGAGTTATTATAATCTTAGAAAATATTATGAAACTAAATTTTACTAAGAAAAATTTACTTGCTTTAATATATTTATAATTATTTTATTTTTTTTAGTCACTCTCTAAAACTATAAAATATTCTTGAAAAAATTACAATAATGGAATCGATTATTTTTCATTGAACTCTTTAAATGTAGGCATTTATAAAATATAAACTGTGAACGGTTTTAATGTACATTTGAAGCTCTAATGATATTCTGATGAAAGTATATTGGAAAACTTGTTATTTCTTTTTTGTTTAACCATTTATATTAACTCAAACTTTTGTATTATATAATAATTTTTTTTTTTGCTGCAATGTAGAGCTGAGTTTTGTTTTAACTTTGTATTGCATTAAAAGTCTCGTCACCTGTCAACAACGACTTGGCGTTAGCCTTTAATTTAAAGAACAAAAAAAAAATCGCTATACTTGTACCCGAAACCTGATTTTTGGCCCCTAAGAAAAACAACCCTGTTGTTTAGCATGGATCGCATTACAATATGATATCGAGTATAATATATTTTAGTTCAAGACACAATGTAATAAGTATTTGACAGCCTACACTCTATTATTAAGTATAATTTTTTTTATTTTAGTCGAATTCCTGTGTGTATTTATTAGAATATTTCCATATAATTATAAAAATAATAGTGACGCTAAAATAAATTGGTGAAATATAATATATATGAAACATAATATGGTTTTGCTTTTAATTTCGCAACAATTTCCTTTATTTTATGACGCGCACAAAATAATTTATCATTATTTTCCATGCAACAGACAATGAAAAGGAACGGGTCAAAAATATAAAAAGTTGTTTTAAACCTTAAACACGAGAGTACCCGGCTAATTGAAAAGTCGTGACTAAAAGCCTAAATTTCACGTTGGGATTTGTTTATTTATAGTTTACTGGCCGATTATGCGAGTTAGCCGGATAAACTTTGAAACTAGGGTCAAAATTGTTAGGCACCCTACATGTATCTAAATAATAAGAATAACAAGAAGAGCGTGATTGCGTTCCATTGTTTGGTCAGTAGAGTAACCGAAAACCAGATTTTCAGAAATATAGTGTGATCAGGACGTGTAAGCGTTGGGTCTTGTACCAAAGTTACGGTATTTTAATATTGTCTTGTAGTGATCGTCCTAAACTTGTAGTTACTATATACACATGCATATTTCAACTAAGTACCCTATTTATAGTTGATGATGTTACTATGACTTTCCATTTGAACTTGGTTTGGGTATTAAATAAATCGATCAACACATTTTTCTTAGCATTACACAATTACTTTTGGTACTTACTATTAGATTAAATAAAAAACTGAACAAATAATTGCGGTTGTATTTTTTTTATTACAACAGGTTTCGGGGTGTTAATTGAACGTTTGCCAACATTACATTTTTAATCCTTACACGATGGCCGCATTTATACAACGTGTCGTTGAAATTCAAATATGCACTTTTATTATGTTCATATTATTATTATACGATCATAACGCCATCTCATCGAGTAAGTCGATGTAATTAGCAACGTTGAAAAGGGTCTGGCATGTTTTGTGCACAGAAAAGTTACGGGGCTTATATTATCCGGCACATTTGCATAAGTCCAATAATCACGGTAAAGTCATTCTCTACGACGACACTGTGTCTCTCACTTCACTCTCATCACTCTGCACACACTTGACATACCTCTGCCAAAAGTCGTTTGCAATATTATTATGATAACGCTATAGAATTATTACAGGCCACGTTACCTTTTTGCTGCTGCACGCTACTGCCGCCGTCGTCGTCGGGCTGTACTCGGAAACTAGACCTCCGACTTGATGGCAACGAGCCCTGATCCAAGCGGTTTTGGTATACATCATAAGCGGATGCCCTTCTTGGCAACTGAGCAGCTGTAAACGCACAAAACGTATGTGATAATTAACCAAAAAAAAAACCGAATCGACTAACATTAAGAGGACGTCACTCGGCCCATTTCTATAGAGTTAAGTAAAGAGGCGATTTTTCACAAAATCTTAATGTTGACCTTGAACTATATTATAGTATACAGTACTTATTAAAACAGCAACGAGGATAGTTTATTGATTGCCATTTTTTTTTATTGTCAAACTATCATAGTTACGACTATAAGATAAATTACAATTTTTTTTCCATCAAAACTGCTTTGCCCGGGACAAGTATGCGACCAGGCCAAGATAACATATGTTCACAATGTATGAAAAAAAACTTTATCTGTGGGGGAACGTTTTCATTTTTTTTATTTCTATACTTAATACTTTTTTATAAATAAATGAAAGAAGAGAAACAAACGAATCTTCTAGAATAATTTTGATTGTGCTTAAGTTATCAAAAAACCAAAAACGTTACCCCATACTAGATAGAGTTCTTCTCTATCCATTGTAAAAATTATATACGGTTACTAAAAATACCGCCTTCACATTCTTGTCCCTGCAAAACCATTTTTCACAGAAAAATTAGGGGTGTGTAGCGTCCTCTTAGAACTCATAACAAATCAATATTATAATATTTCCCAAGTTCATGTAAAAAATATCAGTTTGTGTTGTACCTAATCACAGTTTTTATTTGTAAATGATTTTGGTTATACTTAGAATTTGCTTCTTTATACGTCTTAGTGATTAACTTAATTCTGGAGACAAATTGGATAACATTTTACCCAGTAATATTTACCCTATTTGACTTTTATATTGTGCAACTTACGTTTTATAATAACTTCAACCGTAATAAAGATATAAGTATATTATATAACCTAGTTATTGTATAACCTACAATTCAATAATGTCGAATGACGACCAAATGATTTTGTCCTGGATGAATACTGTAATATAATAATGAAAAATTGCAAGCTTAAAACAATTAAAAACTCTGAAACACCTCCTTAACGTCAGAATTAGGTCATTTTATTAGAAGAAATAGAAAAAAAATTTCGAAAATATTAATTCATAATAACAATGTGTAGATTATATTGTTGTGAACGTAATAATATAATAATATGAATTAAATAATGAGAATAATATAATAACAATAAATTTAAATAATGTTGTAATGTACTTATATTTTTTAATCTATGCTATAAAAAATAAAAATAAATTTAAAAAAAACATTATTTTTTGAGAAAAAATTTATAATTTTATTTAAGTTTTTTAATGGAATAATTCATTTTATAATTGTACTTCGTTTTCTCTAAATGATTAGGTTATAAGGCCTTAGTCGCCTACAGGGAGGATGGTATTCTCAACTGTAAGTTGATTTGTTTTTAACGATTCCAATATAACGGTATTACATAATATACGACATGTGTACGATATACATATATATTTCTTAAAAAATATATTAAGAAACTGTTATATATATATATATATATTATTTAAATGTGTAGTAACAACGTCGTTAAATAGTTCTAGTAATGTCTTGAAAAGTACCCAAAGTTATAAACATATCGATACCACATGGTGCTAACAATAACCAGAAAGTTATGAGACTAAAAAGCGGAGAAACTTTATGAGAAAATCAATTTCCGATTTAACTTTTGGAAAGAAAGAAAAATAATATTTTACAAATTGCAAAACATTTTTTGTAACACACTAAAAAAAACATTTCGAAATGTGTAGACGTGTATAGTATATTATAGAAATATAAAGTATATTAATAGCTAGTAGCTAATATTGAATAATAAAATAAACATACCTTGAAGGTCTGCTGTCAAATTCGATGTAACACCCTGTGGTCCTTGCCCGGTACCGGATTTAATGTCGTCATCATAGCTGTGCTGTTTTTGCACCCTAGATTTCCTTCTTACTCTCTGCACAGCACCACGAGCTCCTCTCCTCCATCGGGTTTCTGCGTCTTCCGGGTCGTCGGTAGAATCATCTGGAAGATATTATAACTTATAAATTAAAACAGAAACACAATAAAAGCAAAACGCACATTTAATAATATTATCAAAAAAAATATTTCGTTAACGCAGCAAAACTGGATAGCTTGAAACATTTGAGCATAACTCGGCGCACAGGTTTTTTAAAGCTCTTTGTTAGATATACAATTTAAGTAATGACATTAAAATGCAGGGTTGCCAATAACCCTTTGTTTGGAAAAAACCGACACGGTCAGGTTTTTTTTTAGTACGAATAAACCTCATAAAATCCATTTTTTCGCGAAAATACCGAACATTTCCCGGGCTTAAGCAAAAAAACTTGTTGGTTTTTTTGCCAACTGTAAAATGTGTTCCCTAATTACCCTTAGTGCGTTAAATCATTCCAGTTTATATTCAAATAAAAATAAAGAGGTTTAAAACGTGTACCCCAAATTAAGAGCTCAGTGCTTCAGTTCCCACATTAAAATCTTTTTCAAAATTTAAACACATGTTTTCCCTTTTAAACAAGCTCAAAACATAAAACGATAATAAATAATGTTTTTTATAACATTTTATATATTACTAGTATAATTATTGTATTACATAATTATTTCTATTGTAGAATTATAAAATTAATAATCTTTTATTGTTATTACATTTTTTTAAGTATCAAATTAAAAACAAATGTACAAATCGTACTCAGTAAAATTAATTAATTTAGTGAACATTTTTGTTTTCAAAGTTTCTATAAACATCTGTATGTTTTTTACAATATACTTTTTTATCAATTTTTTAAAAGTTCTGATGTTACTTTTTATTTAAACTCCAAACCTATAAACTACACCGACAACAGTTTTGTGGGAAATTGACATTTTACTACGGTAAAAGAAATTGTAAAATTGATGAGTCCAACAAAAGAATGGATTATAATAATACAATAGAAACTGTATTAAATTCAACAGAAATGCACTGGTATAATGTATTTCATTTGAAAAAAAAATGAAATAAATAATTTAATAACCGCTACACTAGGAAATAATCGTATTTCCTGCCGTTTATAGTTACAGTTTTTATAATACGCATTTATGTTAACACAAATGATAATATAAAATAAAAAAATCGAATTTTATAATAATGTTTCTTTTAATTGAATTTCGATAATTCCTTCATCGATATTATTAATGTAATAACAGAGGCATGAGGTTCCGTTATAATTTGACGGCAAGATAATTTAATAATCTTTTCCCGGCGAAGAATTAGATTAACGGGTTTTAATGAAATAAACTTAATACTGTACCGGTGGCCATGGATATCTTAGATTCTCGGCGCGATTCGTTGAACCGAAATACATTTGGTTGTGTCTGATTTGTACTTTGTCCGACTACCGCGCCGGCAGACCCTCGTTTTTGTCTTAGACCAGTGTCTCTGTTCCACAGTTTATCGTCTGTTATTCGACTTCTATCTCCTACCTTAAGGGCAGCTGCAGCCTGGAAACAAAAAAAAAAAATTTCCATTTTTTTTTTGTATTCTTCACGCTATAATTATTAAAATCTTATTTTCTTATTATTATGTGTATTGTAGCAATAAGGAATTAATAATTTTTAGTTTATTGTCTCAATGACAAAACATGTATATTATGAATGCAATATTATATAAAAACAAAAATTATGAGATTTTCTTACAGTTCATACATTATAATTTTTTTCTCTCCTGAGGAGGATGATTTTTAGTTCAAATGTGTTTAGAAACCCGAAATTTAGCAAACTATACTTGTTTATAAACAATTAGGACACAAATATATTATAATGTAAACAAACAAATATACTCAAATAAGCGTATCGAAATGTGATTAATTTTTTAATTAAAATTAAACAAACAATTTTTCTTAGTTTTAGTATAATTTTCAAAAATGTAATTTAAACTGATCGTACTATTATATTAATCACAATTAATTTAAACGCACTACGGTTAACATATCGATCAAAAGAATTAACAGTATTAATTTAGGAATAAATGATAACATTCACAATACCATTTTAAACAAAGCTTTGCACACCGAATTAGTTCAGTACATCAATTCTAAATAATATAAGCTTTGAGTTTATATGACTGTTTTAGTCGAGCTTATACTATATGTGTTTGTATTAGAAGTAGCTACGCAGTAAGCTACCAGGGAAATACGATTAGATGTTAGTAATTACTATTTTCATAGTATAGTCGAGTTTAAATTGTTTTTTGTGTTTAAAAACTACGCAGCTTTTTCCTTTAACGAATAGCTGATTTTTGTTTCATTAAAAAAAAAAATAATAATTACACTTTTAAAAATGAGCACAGTTATATGAAAAAATAAATTGAAATGTAGAAACTTATGAATGCATTAAAACTTTCGTGGATTGATATATCAATTACTCGAAACTTACTCAATTGATGTAGAAACTTGCCAACTGTGTTCACCTTATGTTATATTAGTCGACATTTTCTTAACATTAAATTTTTGATATTATTAATCTAAACTTTATTTATCATAAATAAGGGTTTGAAGTACAATAAGCACAAAATTTCTCATACTGATTTGTAATTAAACAATTATATTAAATATAAATATGACTGGTGTACACTAGGCTAGGAGCGACTACCAATCTTTCCATAGACTTTAAATCCTACTCCGGTCAATAAAAGCCATACGCAATAATAACTAGGCTACGTTAAAAAGGTTATACACTTGCGACCTCACAATGACACATCCTTTACAATATGTCTCCCCTTTGACAAAACTTAAGTAAACAGAATGAGACTTCCGGTAAAAGCAGTTACTCAACCATCATTTCATTCGGTTGCTCAGTCAGTCAGAATGAGTTGTGCGTTATTTCTTTCATATATTATTTGATCAGTTTTCAGAGTATTTTTTCTACAAGAGTTCTGTAGCCAGCAGGGCGATCATTTTTATGCCAGTCCTACTCCTCGCGTATTCGTGATTCTTATTTAATATATCATTCGACACCAATCATGTTTCTTTAAATCTTGTCTAATTGTTTATATAGTGCTATCATCTAAATTAAAAGCTATTAAAGCTGCATCGGAAATTTGGTAAAGTCCTATATTTATATTATATACTATATTGCTGGAATGTTGTGCGGATTAATACTAGTCCAGAAGCTATCCTTCGCTAATCAGTCTGCATTAACAAAGCGATAATTGTCAATTACTCAATAAATACATTCGTAACTAACTGAGATTTTTATTTTGAAACGATCCACATCCATTGCTCTTAACAGGACGACATAGTCAAAAATGTAAATTATATGTATATTTATATATTTATTTTACCAAGAGTTAAAAATATTAAATTAATCTAACCGCCAAGAAGCGCAAAATCGAGATTGTCACTGGACCAGAAAAGGGTACATGGAAATTAATTACACCAAAAATATGTAGGTAGCAAAAAAATATTTCAAAAAGGGTGATCCATTATACACCCGTATATCCAATTAAATTTGTATTTTTATTTTCCATTAAAAATGGCTCTCAGCGTGTGGCTTATTGTTACTTTAATTTTGTTTCTAAATTAGTTTCTTTTCCATTACATCAGAATATAATACTAACTGTTTAACTAATAGTGTTAGACTTATTATACATGTTAACTACAATATCTTTAAAAGTATTTTCAATGAGTTGAACATATTGTTAACTATACACAGATAAAAAAAATGGCGTATCCCAATACCCAAGGTGACGGAAATTAACATAATACACTATTTATTTTTTAGTCTACTACAAAAGGTTTTTGTATTAATTTTATTTTCCACAATAATAATAATTATTATTTCGACTGAATAACAAGTCGAAAACCCAATTAATACCGCGTTTTCGGTGTCGTACAAATTGTTTTTAGTCGTTAAACTGGAATTCTTCTCGACCCGATCTAGTACGCATATTGGTCGAGTTTATTATTGCGAACGGTGCGTTTAATGGTGTTTACTCTTAACTACCACACAAACGAGTGGAAGTGTTGCCGGGACATTGTTGTGTTTGCCGAAATAATTATAACGGTGTTTACCTTTTCCATGTCCTTTAACGTGGACGGGGAGACGTCCGAGTGTCGCCTAAGTTCGGGCGACCGCGGTGGAGCCAACCCCGAACCCAGCGACCCGTTTCCGGATCCGCCACTTCCCGAGTTCCTTCCGATTTTGACGTCCGAATGCCGCCGCTGTAAGGTATCCACTATGGGCACGTCCAGCAAGCTATCTGTGGAATTTTGCGCCAGCACGGGTTGTAGTATAGATGAACTCTGTTGTTTTCGACGGCAAATACTGCAGCACCACGTGTTCTGCAACAATAATGTCAAAATTCAAACTGTTACAACTATGTGTACAAGACACCTATACGCAAAATAATATGCTGGTCATTTGAGAAATTGTGTCGTTCATTGTAAAAGTGAATTATCTTCTTGTCACTGAATTTTGAAATAACCAGCCTTCTAAGAATTAATGTGTAGCAAAACAAATACAAATCTTCATATTCAGTGTGTTCAATTAATTTTTTTTTTTTGCATTTGTTGTAGTTGCTTCTTTTTTATAACGAGAGACATGACTAAATGTGACGCCATTAAGCAATAGTATGTATATTATACAAATTTGGATTTACACCACTTTTACAATTAACGACCCAATTGTTCAATCACAAACGTGCCAATCACTTATAATATTAAAATGAACAATAACTCTACTAATGTCGTCCAAGACCAAAATATTACACGATGTAAAACGAAATAATGTAAAAATTCAAATCTTTTCAATCCTATCCCATACGAATAAAATATTTCAAAATAAAAATCCAAAATTTAATTATTAAAGATGTATGAAGGTACACTAATAAAATTGCATTATTCACAGTGTAAGATACTAGTTTTAATGAACTATTCTTAAGTATGTGGAAATAATAATATGTATATCAACTCAATGTTTACAACTCATTTTGCTACATTCTTGAAAACTTACCACAAAAAAAGCAACTAAAATCAAATTGAAGTTTTTAGTTAATAGTTAGAAACAGTACGTTCAATTATTACACTATTAAAGTTTAATGAAAGTTGTGGTATTCTTTTGTAATCACTCTGTATGTGTCATTATTGTAAACCTTAAACGTCAACGGAAAGTGTTCAAGTATATTATCATGTTATCAAAATAACTAGGTCATAGTTTTCCGGTATTGTAACTTGAATATAGCAATTTTTATAAAATAATAAATGGTTGGTAAGTTGGTTTTAGAAAAATTGAACCGATTAGGATAACGATAAGTAGTTAATTTTTTGGCTGTGTTTAAAACACAATAACGAATACGGTGTACTTAAATAAATATTAATGTCCCGAACACAAGCAGTGTAAGTTATAGTACTTGAATTAACCCCCTAAGTAGGTCAAATTAATTAGGGTTTTCGCAACATACAAAAATAACTTTATAAAATAGAAATACAAATAATATGGTGTTTTGTTCTTTTTTGTAACAGAGTAATAATATATCACACATTTTTTTTTTGTTAAGTATTTCCAAACTAAATAGTTTTTTTTTATCATACTTTTTTTAATTAAAAAGATTTTAAAGACCAGTCAATTTATCGCATTTTCTCAAGTGTAATATAAAACCGTAAATTATGTATTTATTTTTGCAATACTTGTTTTTAATAATTAATAATGAGTATATAAGTATGTAAAGTTTTCAATTTTCTAGATACATAACATCAAGATTTCATAGATAATGAAGTCACGCATGTAGCTAAATTGCCTACTCTAATCGCCGTCTTACAGAACAACAATTAATATTTTAAGTACCATCCCGTTTTAATTTTGCTCGTCAACCGTTAATATTATATTATTATAGAACAATAAAACCAAAACTCTATATATTAGTCTATTTTATAATAACTAAGATGTACTGATAAAATACAAGTCAGCATAAAACCTAGGGGTCTATACATATGACAGGTCATAACAGGTTATTGACCGATATCATACCAGACAGTGTAATACTTTTAATAATTATTGCGTTAAAAATTGATATGTAATAACTAACAAACAATAAAAAAAAAAAAAATTAAAAAATCAAAGACTGTAGCTTATAGTAAACTGTTTTTTTACCGACTAGTTAATTTATCTTAAAAATATTACTAAGGTTGAAAAGTAATTGTATTCTCGTCCTCTTAACATTCCACCGAGTTTTTAATTATTATAATGAATACAAATGTCAGTTTAACGTCGACCACCACCGCGAGGACACTGCTACTGTTATGTACTTAGTTAATGAGTATTTTACAGCAATTGTCGGTGTGCTCTATATACCGTCTATAGTTTTATTATGAACAAAACAGCTCCCCCTACAAAGTAAATAAGTATAAAGTAGTTATTATAAAGATGAATTTTAGCATTCAAGTATAAAAATCTAATAAATTATATTAAGATAAACTTTTTTTGTAAAAAAAAAAAAAAATTTATAGCATAGACTTTATAGTTTTGCACGGAAAATGTAATACAAATTTTAACATAACATAACATATTTATGTTTTTAAAAAAAACTTGATAACAATTAATTTCGTATTTCAATCATGTTAACACTTATATAAAAACATTCAATTATTAGGTTCACATAAATGGACCGTTACATCCAGTGAGTTGTTATTTCAGAATTTAGTACCTGGTTTTATAGGCCAATTATGTTTTATTATTTTTGATTTTCTGTTTAATAACTCTTTATTTGTCGAGGGTGCGCCGCCTTAAATCATAATGCACGCAGAGCCAGGTTAAGTACTTTAGGGGCCATAAGAAAATGATTCACATGGGCTTAATTGATGACCAATATAATATAACACCAATAAATTAAGATTTTTCTATTACATTGTATCTAAATTTTGTCCCGTGTTAGAGGGAACTTCAATTTAAAAAATATCATGTTTCATAATTTGATTTATGAATATAGATAATATTTATTACAAAATCATGTCGAATTTAAAAAATGTTTTCAGTCTAATAAATGAGTAAATTATATGTTAATTGTTAACACATTTATACTTATTATATATTCAGTCACTGTCATCGTTTCAACAGTGGTAAACTTGTTTATCCTCTTCGTCCATACATAACTCTTTTTTCCTAGCTTTTTAATTTGCAAAAGTTCATACAGAGTTTAAACTAGACTCAAATAATTCCAAGGCTCAAAATATCGTGGTAATCGAAAAAAAAATCGTGTACGCAGACATGTGTTTTCCTGTCACCACCGTGATTTGTGAGTAATAATAAATATTACCATATCGTTGTCAAATTATTATTTTTGTTGTTACTATTATTTGTATTATTATTATTATTATTATTACTATTATTGCATTGTACGCGCACGGCAATGGCGATGACGGTCGGAAGAGATAAGCGCAACAGGGAACCAACTGCTGCGGTGTCTTTGAGTGAAAAACAAATTAAGACAAATCGTGAGACGAAAAACGAGGGCAATTCGAAAAGTGGGGTGGGGGGGGGGAGAGAGGTGGAGTTGTTATGGTAGTCTGCGGTGGTTAGTGAAATGAGTTATTGCCCAAATGGGAAGAAGACACGAGGAACGGCGGTTAAATAAATTACCGGCAGACAGTGCCGCCGGAGCAAATGCAAAAGCTGAGGAGGAGGAAGAGTGCTTGGGCTGGTAAGTTGCGGGCGACCGGGTGTAGTAGTAAGTATACTGCGGATAAATCGTTAGAGGCCTTTGTGTGTGTGTGTGCTTCTTTTGTGTACGGGTATGCACATGGAATAGGCAACTCGAAGCACACACACACGTGGTGCACGTCATCGAAATCTAATTGCAGTATATGGCTTGTCGCTCGGCTCGTTACCGCCGCACCGCCACCAACACAGAATCTCGTTAATTTTCTTGTCGATTCCGCATTGGGGTGGGTGTGTGTATACGAGGGGCGCCGAAAACGGTAGCACGGTAGCCGTGAAGCCGAGTTGAAAATTTCAATATAATGCTTATCCGGTTATTATTAAAAAAAACCGTGTTGTCCCGCGTCAAAATTAGGATCGAAAATTACACACACACACACACAAGTTCTAAAAATAAAATACGCTCCGTTCTTAAACCGGAATATAATAAATAATCCGAAAAAAGTGAATTTTAAGCTTATGCATTTTTAATGAAAATATGAAAGCATCTTAAATATTTAATGGCGTATGTCTCGGTTTGCGAGGGAAAAAAAAATTATTTTCCCCTTTATTCTTATAATATTATGTATATTCCAAGGGTGCCTTTAAGTTTTGCAATAGAGAGAGGCCAATCTTTGACACGGCTCCAGTATCTTTGTTTTAACCCAGTTTTTGGGTTTACATCAATATTGTGTAACTCGACTAAGCCTTGGAAGTAGGTTAGATGTTTGCCTACCATCTAGACGTGCTAAACTTTTCTTTAGGCAAAAAAACTGAATAATCATCTAACTCTTATGTAAAACTACTTATCTCTAAATTTTACTCTCGAACATGCATAACTAACTTGAAATCAAATTATCATAAGACTTTTAATTATGTAGGATTTCTTAAGTACTTAGTAGGTACTATAAATAATGGGTACCAATAGATAAATTATATTGATGTTACTTATATTAGTGGTATATTTTTTAAAACGGTCTGAAACATCGTAGAAATGTAATAAAATATCAATACAGTTATAATACAATTTATATGATAACTGAATGGTTGTTATTTTACATATAAGTCATAAAGGTAAACTACTAAAAAAAAAATATAATTTGATTGGTTTGACTTTAAAAATACCTGAAATAAAAGAACGTTTATTGCAAAAAAACACCATTTAAAATTTTTTTTGACAAGTGATTTTGGATTTGTACCTCTAATTTGTAAAACACAATAAAAATTGACTAAAATTCGCTAAAGTTCGATTAATATAGATACTATTTACAATGTAATACATCAATAAAGCTAATATTAAACGAACATCATAATGTCAGTTAATGCGTTCACATTATTTGAAAATCTATAAACGATAATAAAGTAACTATTATATTTATGAATGAATAATTTATTCCACTAAACATTATAAAAGTTTGACAACAAATTAAGAAAGCTGTTTGGAATACCCAATTTAATTAAATATGGTGTGAACTGTTTGAGTTTTGTTTAATATATTTTATTAAAAGCAAATACCTAAAATTTTAATAAATTATTTTGATTTCATTATTTTAGCATATTTCTACACAAAAAATTGCTCCATTAAAATCAAAAATGTGTTTTTTTTATTGAGTCCTGAGCAATTTATAATCTGTAATCCGAACGATGTGGT